AACCACACGTTAAAAATGTTTGCTAAACAGAATATTAGTGTAACGCTGCAGAACATGAACACAATGCGAGACATGTGAATTAATTGAGAATTTACAAACATAAAACGACAGATTATGAAAAAAAAAGGATTTTCAGACGATAATTTTTGAATAATGAATGTAGCAAACTCGGATTGGAAACTTATGACAAACGCTGAAACACAGTTATCATAAATGGGACGTACTGCTTATCAAATTTTCATTCTGGTCGATTATTATCGAGCTGAAACATACTTCATTTCCCACCAATAATGTTCCGCCACCTCACACTTGCTGATTTTGTATTATTCATGGCCTTCGAAAGCGAGTAGTCTGTATACGTGTTTATATATCTTTCATTTTATTGCGAGTAATCAATTTTCCAATAATCTAAACCAAATAAATAGATGCTCCTTTGTAAACTTATTTTTATTTATTCAATTGTTCTATTTTTACTTGTATTTTATTTCACTATTATTTCATTTCAGGTTTATTTTGGTTAATATAATTGTTATTTTCATCTATTCATTTTCAATTCTTCTTTTTTAGTTGTTTCACGGATTTCAAATCATTTTATATAATAGACAATGGAAGTCCGAACTAGTGAAATTCATCATGAAACATTGTCAATCACCTTCAAACAAACGCACAGTTATTTTTCTTTTACGACAAATTCTCGAAAATTATTCGACAATTAAAAAAGTATATTTCAATAACTTTACTGCAAGTTGCCTTACTAACTTTATGGAGGTGACGACAGCACACTTGTCTCGTCATTCTAGGTCAACGTCTACGGAGGCTCATCTTCACCGGCAGCAGGAAGTTTTAATGAGGATCTAGAAAAGATTTCGAAATGGTGTGAAAGTAACGAGGTTCAATTCAATGCCACCAAAACCCAGGCATCGGTTTTCTCCAAAAAGATAAATGTTTCTGAACCGGATATAATGATGTCAGGACAGACAATTCCGCTTTCTGCTTCGATAAGTTTGTTGTGGATTAAAATGGAGACCAATATGTCTTGGCACAATCATGTTGCTGGAATTGCAAAGGTTGCTTCTCAAAAGCTTGAAACACTGTTCCGAACCAGAAAACCGTACACACCTCAGCAACTTTTGATGCTTTATGAAGCTCAGATCAGAGTATTGTTCTCATGTATGGAGCTCTGCCTCCAAACATATCCTGAAGTTGCTGGATTCCATCCAGAAAAGAGCCATCCGCTTGATTGGAGACGCGAACATCACGTGCAACCTTGATAGCCTGGAACATCGAAGGAAGTTTGTAGATTTATCTCTCTTCTATATATACTTTCACGGGAAGTGTTCAAGTGACTTGACACATTTGATTCCGCCAAGAGCGGTACATATTAGAAATACCATATCGAATACAATATTGTATTCGTCAGTTACAAATACAAGTGGCATAAAAATGTAGGAAGTTTCATTTCATATTTTTCACGATTAGAAGAGTCCTTGGAAGACTAATTCCCTATGTAATGGAAGAATTCCCTACTCCAGAAACTCAAGATAATGTGTTACCGAAGACGAAAAAATGCATGCTTGCTGACAA